CTGGCAATACTCTTTATGTAATTATAATCACTGCAAATTCTCTGACAATCAAGTTGTGAGTTTGGAGGATAAGTGGGGACAGATGAGAAAGGTTCAAGCTTCCCTTTCAAAAAAGGGAACCAAGTAAAACTCTGTGCTTTGTCCTTGATTCCACCTTTAGTTTTTTGGGAAGAGGGTTTGCCAGTTCCAGCCGATTCCCGCTGTGGCAAAAGTGCCTAATCCATAATTCGTTCTTTCAGTGTTCTGCCCTTCTTTCCTTAGCCAGGCTCTGAGCTCTATCAAATATTCATCTCTTCTCTCACTAAATAATAGATCAATGTAATAACAGGCAAAGCACAGTTAATCACAGCCTTTCAAACTCCCAGAAAAGGCACCAAGAGATGGGCTAGGGCAGGCACAGCAGCAGGAGGAGCAGAGACCCAACACAGCAGCAGCCAACAGCCACATGGCATATACACGAGAAAGGAAGCCCACCCATCCCTCTTGGCAGATATACTTTTAAGTCTGCGACATGGTCAGAAGGAACTAGCAGATCTTTTTAGCAACAGGTAACAAGCTAGACAAAGCGATGGAAAACTAGGTGTTTAGATTTATGCTACTATGCAACAATAAAAATCTTACCGGAATCTTACCTTAGATTCAATGGGCATTAACTGTTGAATGTAATGTGCAGTGGTGACTGTTATGCAGTGAAAAAGTCCCCTTGAGAGGGCAGCTGTGCAGGTGCTCCCTCTGAGATGTTACTTGCCCACACGGCTGCTCACCCAAAGGGGCTTTTTTCATTGTGAAATAGTCCCTTGACAAGACAGCCACCTGCACAGCTGTCCCCTTTGAGGTCACAGCCACATGGGCACCTGTATGCATGGCTGTGTCCTCAAAGGGGACAGCTGTGCAAATGAGTGATGCTTCAGCTGCCCACAGGACAGCGCCACAAGGGAAAGAGGGCAGGTACACAGCTAGAAGCCAAATCAAACCATATTGCCAAAAGGGCAATCAAACCCTTAATTCACTTGCCTGGTTGAGTTAACTAATGGTGCAATCATTATGCAAGGAATACTGAAATACCACATTTGCCACCCCAAAAGTTGTGGTACAATTATTATGCAGTGGTGACAATTATGCGATGAAATATAGTAATTCTTACCCTAATCAATACCAAGAGACTACTTTTGTTTACTTTGACTTTCCCTTCATTCTTATACCAGAACAGGAGACAGCCCTGCTCAGAGCAAGGACACTGTGAATACTCTTAGGACCCATAGCTGGCACTTGAGCATTACATGACAATTAAGTGCAAAACAAAGCTAATCGTGATTGACGGAAGCCCCTGAAGCATTCTCATTGCATCCAGTCACCCCTCTCTTTCCAGTGACCTTCGTGACTAATAAGCAGTAAGAGAGATGAGTTCTCTTTTGCACAGGTACTACCAAGTTGTGCTCAGTTTCTCCCCTAATAGTGAGAGCATTTCTTACACATGCATACTAGGCAGTCTGCAGGGAGCAGCAGACATGTAGTCAATGAACATATGCAGATGCTATTATTCAGAAGGTACAGGGAATCCAAAGTTCTCAACATCTTAGCATCCAAGCTGTCCAGCATCTTTTGTAATTAACTGTCTACAGCAGAAATAGGAAACATATGAAGTATTTGAAGAACTGGCAAAAGGAAGGAAGGGACATCAGATAGCTATACAGATATGACATTTCTTTCAAGGTTAGAGGATAATTACTTGACTGCAAAAATGCAAACTATTTATTGGCACATTCATAGGTCGCTCGCTTTTAAATTGACATCAGCTTCATCAAAAGTCAGCCGGGGAAATGACAGCGACTTCTGCCAGAGAATTCATGAAATGAAATCATTAATTCTGACAGACCTGGGGATTTTTAATATAGCTGTTAGTAAAGAGCCAAGGGAACCACAAAAGGCAGGTGCTATATTAGAGCAAAGCATTATTAAGGCTGAAAATGACTTCTAAATCAAACTAGATGTAACAAAACATTCTAATAAAGTCCCTGTACAAGGTTTTATTCATAATAGTACAAGAGGGGCAGACTGAAAGCACATTTTCTTAAAACAGCTATTATTTCTAGATTTTTATGGATGCAACATTTCCATCAATAAGCAGTAACACACAGCTGGATAAAAGACCAAATGGGTAGGGGTGCATAACAAAAGAAGGGCTCAGCATCTGGCAAGTTGTTCAGAATTTCTTTTCCTCAGTATTGGGAAGAGGTGCACAGCAGACTATGCAATATAATTCATATTATTCAGAATTTGGCCTGATTATTTTGAGGTCATCTACCTCATCGTAACATCATGCTTGCTAAATTGTGTCACTCTGGTCAGCACACAATGAATGCTTAACGGTAATGGTTTGGTTTGGATTCATAAAGATTGCAAATAGAGATAAATTTATATTCCCCAAGAAGCCACTGCTCCCCTGATCTGTTGTTGCCCGGGAACAAGGACTTGAAGCCCAAAAATCCCACCAATATCAAAGCAACAGGCCTGATGCCCCCTCACAATGAGATGCATATTCACAGAGGCATCCCATTGAAAGTTATTCAGTGCAGAGCAACAACACCAACATTGTTTCTCTGTACATATTATTCCCACCAAGATGTAAACCTCTGGCTGCACGTCCCAATGCAAGGTAACACTAGATGTATGGATTTGTTCCATTTCAATACAGACCTTTGTCTCCTAGGAAGCAATCCATTTCATATGTGTATAAAAGACAAAACTTCACCTCCCTCCACACTTTGATCTAAATTTTAATCCTGTTCACACATGGATCCATTCGAAACAGGTTTACAAGACATGGAATTAAAAGCAACCCAACCAGACTACAGCTGTAACCCCACCCTCAAACAAGCCAAGCCCAGACAAAGGGAATAAAATCAATACAAAATGGATATGTTCATGCTGGGAGCCTCTGAAACATAGCGAAGCTGAACCCTTTATTCTCTACTTTTTAAAAAGTCATTACTCACTAGGAAGTTTTTTCTGAAGCACTCACAAGCACATTCTAATATAGAAAAAAGAAAGAAAATAAAAAAGGTTCCCATTCAACTCACAAACAAGTCCTGGTTTCAGGCTGTTTGTGATCAGAATGAAAATTCTCCACCAAAATTCATGGAGCTGTAATAGGTAGTTGTAGAAAAACAGTAAAGGACTTAGAGGAAATGGGAGACATAATCTTTTATTTATTTATTTCATTGATATTCACAATGTTGCAAGCTGTTGGACTGACATAGATAACATTGCTGCATTTTGAAAAGAGCGGTATGGGTCAATTTGGCTTGAAGTCCCATATTCCAAAATAGACGCCCCACCTCCTGAACACCAGGCATGTGGTAACAATGGAAAGAAAATGCAAGTCGGATATGATAAATCTTTTTTCACTGGTCAGTGGTCTGCTAAGAATGGATGCCACTGTACTGTTCGATATAAGGAGGTGTGAATCTAACAAATGCTAAATGGCAGAGACGCTTTCAAAGAAAAATAATTCTTTTTTTGCTTCAGCATCAACCTCATGTTCCCCATACAAGTCAATACCTGCCTGCCCATGAAAATAAAACACTGAATAACAATAACTTAGTATAACTGATATTCCCTATGCACCCAAACCACAGCAGGAAAAAAGGCTTAATACTTAACATCTTATCATATACAATATGTGAACCCTCTTTCAAACTGGCAAAATATCTAAGTGGAATCCTAAGCCGTAAACACTTAATGGTTGTCTGTCTCATGTTTTTTCAAGGTTTGGCAATGAGTATTGTACAATCTGCCACGGTACAGAAGACCCTTTGTATCCTCTGAGATTTAGTACAGGTGTTCCCGTGGATACCAACATTTGTCAGTCATCAAGTCCCAATGTATGCAATGGGTGTAGCAAAATGGCAACCTTAAATAAAATAGCAACATCAAGATTTTTCTTTTGGATTTTTTAAAAAATATTTTCAAGTCATGGTTGGTTGAGCCCATAGATGCAGAATCTGTGGAGACAGAGAGCTAACTGTATAAACATTGCTATACTGAGTTACCGCATACCTTTTACTCTGCTAGTAGCTTGAGTTATACGCAAAGCATCTTCATGATGGTTAAGACAACAGCAAATTTATACGGAATATGTAACACATAAAGCACTTATAAATAGCAATTGCAAAATACATGTATTTTTGATACACAAGATGTGAGCATGTGGGCAGATCCTAGCTAACTAGCAGTCTGCGATATTGCAGCAGAACTATAAGGATATCTGCTAACAGTTTTTACCAAGAGTATTCTAACTTCCTTTGTATAGGTACATCTCAGTTAACAAAGTTTTCCTGGGCATTATTTTTTTAAGTAAAACAGGTGGCACCAGAGAGAAAAAAATATATGGAAAAACCGGGATTGGTTCCTATACCTCAAATGGAGAAAAAAGTTCAAAATGTTTCAACAAATTATTTACTCATAACTAACAGTGGGCACGTGAAACAATCAGGTCAAGTAAGCCTATGACAGGCATGAACATACATGGCTACTGTAGATTTGGCTAACATGGAGTCTGCTCTTTTCCAGCTTAAGCTTTGTTAACTGCAGACATATTGCAGCAGCCTATCACCACAAGTATCTGTTTCCCCAACTCTTTTTCATAATCCTCCCAAAGGACCTTCTTACAACTAAGAAAAGGAAGAGGAATCCTATGGTCCAGTAGGTAATCCTTTCTATTTGCTACATACATATTGGATTTTGTAAACTAGTGGATGTTGTAATGGAAACCGCACAATGATTTGAAGTTGGATACTGAAGGGGATGTGTGCCAAGTTTGGTCCAGATCCAACAAGCTATGTAGGAGCCTTTGTGGTACAAACAAGCACACCAACAAACTAACTACAAACAACACACACAGACACACATGACAATAGTAATAATGTGTTAGAAACCTTAAGGAGGGCAGCGTTTCTTTGCTGCTTCATACCTGAACACAACTTATGGTTCACAGGTACCTGTTATATCTGTTTGAGCATCTTCAACCTCTGCTGCTGCTCTGTTTTTTTTCTCCAGCTCTTTCATTTCAGGCACATAGAAGTCTCCTTGACGAGCAAGGGGGCACACAAAATAAATCTGGTCGCCTTTGTAGATCTCCAATCTGGGATGGGCGCAGAGCTTCCTCTCCTAAAAGAAATAATACATAGAAGCATTTAAGACTTTTCCCCTCTGCCTTTCTTTCATTATGTTACAACCAGTGCACACATGTCTGAACAGTTTTTCAAGATGGCTCTCTTGATCTACTATTCACAAACTGAGGCCTCTCAGTATTCCACTGAGATGCTCTCATCTTCGGCTTGCATGCTAAGACATATTTGCCCAATTCCCTCTGCTTTATCATTTTCAGACACCAGGGGACCAATTTTTTAAAAGGCAAAAGTATCTTATGAAACAGAGCAAGAGCTTTTAGGCTCAGAGATAAAACAGATAATAAATTGCAAAAGACTGGAAGTGCTTAGCAGATCAATGAACTATTCCTCACAAGCAGATCCATATTCTATTGTGCTGAATTCTACAACCCCTGCTTTGAGCACCAGTACAAAATTATTATGTGGCAGTCATTTGAGAAAGAACATTTGACACACAGCAAGTGGGTCAAAAATGGGGAAAAGTTATGATTTAAATCCATTCTGAGTTATCATGAGAAAGATATCATTAATTCAGGTTTTTACATGCCCTCCTCCTGGTTCATCTATAATTATACCACTTCAAGTTCTGCTGTTGTAGTGAGGGCGGGAAGATAAATGGTTGAGCATATAAGATGACTTCAGTTCATGAATGGCATATTGAGTCAAATGATCCATGATAGAAAAAATAGAAAAAGAATGACATTCCGGAGAGATGAAGCCAGTGGTACTGCTTTATTCTTTATTCATCATCACTGTAATGCATAAACAAAAGTTTGTAAATTTGGGTAAAGCATCAGTGTAGAGTTTTTAAATGTTTTCATAGGCAGTTAATCCATTAATATTGTCTAAGCACTTGCTGTAACCTTTCTCTCTTTTTTAAACAAATGTAATTTTTATTGTTTTTAATTAAAAAATACAATATGACAAGGATTCCATAAGACCAGGATCAAACCCACAGCCATGGAAACCCAATGACCTTCAGCAAGACACCCAGTCTCTCAGACTAAAAGGAAAGCAATGGCAAACCTCATCTGAATAAATACTTCCAAGAAAACCCCACGATACAGCTCCCATAAGTCTGAGTCTATTTGAAGACATATAAAAACAAAACAAATGCAACAGCAATGCACAAAGAAGTAGTTTATCTGTGAAGTGGGGATGGCCCAGCTGGTCCCCTTACTGTTGGAGAGTGTACAGTTCTGTCTTGAGTTGAGATCCTGATGGCATCCTTCACACTGCATGCTTACCTAACATGCCAGCTAGGAAAAGACTCTCAAGCTAGAAAATGGCACTTCTTCCCTCACTGAATTGCTAGTTTACCAGAATTATGGGTATTTTTTTGGTCATAGGAATGTAGGCTACCAGGCCCTTAGCCAGGATTTTGGTTCCGGAGGGGGGAGGGGGCGGCTGAGTATCTACCCAAGCAAGCCTTTTGTATCGTTATCCCAATACCCCTATGCATATGGGATATATTGAGCATGGTGATCAGATCATGATATGAATAAACATAACAGTTTAAATAATGTACCAGTAAGGCCTTCTCGCGGACCACGCTGAGAATTTCGGGGGGGGGGGGCTGGAGCTGAAGCCCTCAAGCCCCCCTCCCCCCAGTTACATGCCTGTAGGCTACATTATCCTGTCAGACTGAAGGTATGTCAGTCTGTTTGGTCTAATACTGTTATCACAGATTGGCAGCAACTCTCCAGTTTTCCAGGCAGGATCCTTTTTAAGATATGTGTCAAGTTTGGGAAACATGAGGCCCTCCATAATGTTTTAACTGCAATCTCCAGCATGTTTCATCATTGGTTATGCTGACTACAACTACTGGGAGACTGGCAACACTGGGAGATCACACAATTTTTGCCCCTGCCTAAACTGAAGGTCTCTGAACGATCAACGCTACTTTTGCTTCTAAAATCAGATATGATTCAAGGAGTTATACAGTGCCATAGTTACAAATAAGTGGGAAATAACTGTCCCCTTCCACAACACCCTTCCTTTCTTCTTTTTTACCTTCCCTTCAGCTCTCATTCAGCTTGAGGAGAAGAGAGATAGTGGCTGGGGCTACTTAAATAGTGTTCTTCCCACTAGTGTTAAGTGAAGGATAAAGGCTATACCTAGAGAAAAGTTTGGGTACTGGGAAGAAAAATTAATAATATTACATTATTTCTAATAATTTTAATATTTATATAATGCACCTCAAATATCTGGCACAAGAGTGACTTGCTTATCATTTGTTTCTTGGTGTTCTTTATTGGTCCTTTCTATATAAAAAGGGAAATACTCGAAATGCTGTAGTTGACTACTGTCTTGGGGACACAATGTCAAGCAAGAATAGCCAGGAGCAAAGAGCTGAAATGCTTACCTTTTTGCTTTCAAAATGGGTTTCTTTCCACTAGCTTAGGGACACAACCCTTAATTATATTTTGCTTTGAGCTTCGAGTTTTAAAATGTTTTTTGTCTCTCTGGTAAGTTTTGTCCCCAATTTCTCTTTTGTAGCTCCCTGGAAACTGATGTTATTTTAGTGGTCATTACTAACACCCTTAGCAACACTAACTGAATCAAAGGAGATTCCAGCCCTGGCACAGCCGAAACCCTTAGCAGAAAGATAGGCATTCTGAAAAAAGCACCATGATTCAATGGGTAATTAATATAGCCAGGGAAAACAGATAACAGCTGTTTTTTCCAGAAATGCACAGCTGGGGCAGGGTGGTGATGGTTCCAATCAGAGTATGTCTAAAGTCTATCACCTCTTCCTTTATCCTTGTTTTTAGACACAATCCCTTGATTCCTGGACTTTTATGAGATCAGTGCTCATTGAACAATGCCAATTTTTGAAGTCCACGGGTGTCAGATGAGCTGGGAGAGGGTGGGTGATGAAAGCATGAGTTAAGCATGACTGTTGGCACACACTGGATCAGCAAAGATCAAAGAAAGCAAGGTTCCAAGGAGCTGTGTAGGGGATGGTCTTTGCACTGAAAGAACAGCTGGCCGTTTTCATGAACGCCCACACCCTGCCCGCCCAGCAGCTGTGTGGCTTGGCATATAGTACAATGTCTGGGAGAAAGGGTTGGGGTGAGATTATTTCTGAAATTTCTACAAAGGGATGGGAGGGAGAATTAGGTTCCACCACCACCACTCTAAATAAATGTCAGCTACATGGTACAGCACAGCCGTGTGCTAATGTCCCCAAATGGCCTGTGTTGATCATGGCTCTGCAAGCATACTGTTCAGGATGCTTGCTGCTCTTTAGCCAGAGGGGATACGACGCAAACTCCCTGATACAGCTACAGATGACACTACCTGGTCTGCATCAGTTGAAAAATGGGAAAGGAGGACATGCTTAGAAGGTCAAACAAATGCGGAAATAAGAGAGAACACTTTAAGATGTGTTGACTAGGGACTGAGGTGGGATTAGTTATTTCTAGGTTACTAGCTTGTATCCACCTCGGGCGATCTGATCTTTGCTGTGCCTTCTCATTTTTGCACACTGACCTTTGCTTCTTCTCATCAGTTTGGTCAGACTTATTTCAGCAGCAATAGCTGAAGACTGGGGTGTCAGTATACTTCATAGCAACAAGTTTCTCCTATTCTACAGATGTCTAGAAACCACAAGAATAATTTCTATGCCACTTCTAGAGATACTGCTTCATTTTCATTCTCAAGGATTAGGCATGGAAGAAGGGAGGGAAGCTATCCCTGCTTTTTGCTGCCTCCAGGTATGATCTCATTAATAAGAAGCAGAGATTATTTTAAAATGAAATGGCATGAATAGTGGAGAATAGCACTGAAGAGTCCATTACGGAAACAATAACAGTCAATCTTTTTCCCTGTGCTATTCAGCTCCTTCTCTGGAAATGGAGTCCTATGCTATCTGTGGAGGACAGGACTGAGTGCTCTTTCATTCCTTTATATCACAAAATATTTTAAAAAATAAATGATCAGACTTCAGGCTTATCTAGATGATTTTTTAAAAACCCATTGATGTTACACTGCTATTAACTCCAATTTAACAGCAGCAATGACAGTACAGTACATGATAAGACAACAGTAAAAAGAAATCCTTGGCATTCACAATTAGGGCTGAAAAAGATACTTGTATGGAAAAGCTGTTGCCAGACAGTACATATACAGCAGTATGGACAAATTCAGCAGATTTAGGGATCAATTACCTCTCTGTTGAGCTTGGCATCAGCTATTCAGCTACACTAAGGAACAAAAATACTGTTTTAAAACAGACTAGAAATGTCTTGTTGTCATGGAAAATCCTGGTTAAGTCATTGAATTATGCAAGCACAGTGTATAGTTAACAGAGGATCTAAGGGGTTCAACAACAGTGTGCAAAATTGTTCTGGACACCAGACCAGTATTGTTTCCCACTCATGGGTAACTCATAAACAAGACTGAATTAGAAGTGTCAATTACCTGACTGTGCTTTGGGCAGTTTCCTATATCTCTAAATGAATTAAAACAAAAACAAATATTCCAGACCTGCGGGGTTCAAGAAATGACATTCATTCTTCCAGAAAAATTCTAAAAACAATATTTTATGAAATACTGACACATGCAGAAAAAAACATGATCAAAGAAACCCCAAAAGATGGCTATCCAGCCTCTGTTTAAAAGCCTCCAAAGGAGGAGCCTCCACCGGGCTCCTCCAATTCCACTGTTGAACAGCTCTTACGGCCAGGAAGTTCTTCCTAATGTTCGGGTGGAATCCCCTTTCCTATCATTTGAACCCATTGCTCCCAAATCTGATCTCCAGCAGAAAACAACCCTGTTCCCTCTTTCATATGACATCCCATCCTCTGCAAATAATAATAATAATAATAATAATAATAATAATAATAATAACAACAACAACAACAACAACAACAATAATAATCCACAGTGGCATTAAAGAAAGGGAAAATTACACGCAGCGAGGGCATAGAGATGCCAAATGGACAAACCATAAAATGCAATCAGCCTGAAGCCTATAAATATCTGGGTATACTA